TTCCCCTGAGGAGCTCAAGACTGTGCGTACAGAACATTTGAGACCCAGTCCATAGACCTGCCATGTGATTTCTCTCTTGCTTCTCCTCCCACCCCCCAGAACCACCCAGGAGTTGCTTTGCTCTTTTATTAAACCTGGTTTCATGAAGCTGGCTGGATTTGGCTTATTGCCTTGGTGGAGATACCCACAACCAGGGTTTTCAAAATACTTACCAATTAGGTTGAAAGCAATCTTAACAAAGTGAACATTCATCCTAAATGTTGACAGCAACATATGGATATTTCTTGGTAAGCAATAATGCTGTAGTACTGTTTGTAAACTCTGGCAAAACTCTGTTAAGGATTTCTGCATAATATCTCCTACTCCTTTCTCATGTGGGGCTTCCTGTGCTGTTTAATACAAGAGAGGGCAAAGCCCTTTTTTTAAGAGTCAGGCACTCGGACATGGACTGAGGGTCTTTGGCGTAAACAGATTCATTCATACAACAGGCAGATATGGATGGAGAACAAAGTAGAGAATTCAAATCTGGACTTCTTCTTGGTCATATGACACCAAGAGGAAATTATTTATTGATTTTTGTCTTTAATGAGACACCATACATTATTGATGACTTGGGGTTTAGTATTAATGTATTCAAACTGACTGCACTGTGCCTTGTGTTAGGAACATGTGAGACTGTGTGAGGAAACTTTAATGCATTAATGAAGCATTTTGGAGGATCAAGTGTGAGGGAAAGGTAGCTTGAACTCATTGGAGCATATTGGGAAGACCCCAGAGGCAGATTCACAAAACAGCATTCAGACAGGCACAGATTCAAATTCAGACAGACAGGATGATAAAGACATGGGAGAGCAAAGTAGAGGGATCAAATAACACCATGAGAAGTACTTTATTGTTTTCTGTCCTAATGTAACACTGACACATCATTGGTGACTTGCAGTTTACTATTAATGTACTCAAACTGACCATGACAAACAACTATACTATTCTATAGTATTGTGTGAGACTGAAGCACGTTGTACATTAAGGTTTATTGGTAGTCTTTAAAATTTTTTAAGATTTATTTTTTTATGTGTATGTGTTTTACATAGATGTATGCATATGCACTATGTGCATGCCTCATGCTCTTGGAGCTCCTGCTGCTGTGCTGAGATCCCCTGAAACTGGGGTTATGGATGGCTGGGAACTACCATTTGAGTGCTGGAAAAAGAATCCGGTCTTCTGCAAGAGCAGCAAGTGCTCTTAACCACTGAGCCACCTTTCTGGCCCATTATTAATATTCTTTTTTTAAATTCTTTTAACTTTTATTGGTTCTTTTTGAATTTCACATCATGCATTCCATTGCCACTTATCTCCAAGTCCCCTTGAACCTGCCCTCTCCCCTTGCTACTCCCTCCCAAAACAAAGCCAAATTTAAAACAAAAAAGAGAAGAATTGTGGAAGCCTGTTGAATCACAGTTTACCCTTTGGTCTGTTCATCTTTATTTGCAAATGTTCATTGCCTTATGATTCATTGATCTGGCTGGAGGCCTCTGGCTTCTTCTACACCATCAGTACTGGGCTTTCACTGGGGCTCCTCTTGTATATCCTGTTGGATTTGTAGGCTTGTCCCCTTTACATGCTCCAAAAGTTCATAGATGAGGCCAATGTTGAGGTGGGCCAACTCTTAGCCCTGGTTCTGGGATTGGGTGGTACCTGGGTTGATCAGTTTCTTAGCTTTCACACATCATCACTACCAGGTGAGCTCTCCAGCACTGCCTGGGTTAGCTCACTCAAGGCAGCCTACAGCAAGGATCTGGGCCAGTTCTCCTA